CCAGGTTTTATTCTCCTCCATCCCATGTTTTTTTTTTTTCTTCCTTGCTCACCATTGGCCAAACCCAACTAGAAGTCAGAGAATAAAAGAGTATTTTGGCTGGATGAAGAAGAACAGATAAAAGTAGAGAGGGGATACAGAAGGATATTAGAAAGTATCCAGCAAAATATCAATAATTTTGGAGAGCTAGAGGAACGCCCATTGTCATTTTTTATTAAAAAATTTTTTTAGAATGTGATTTCATAGTGTAGCAGTTAGCACATCTGCTTTACCCACAGAAGGTCCTGGGTTCATGCCCCAGTGGAGCCACAGTCCATGGTCTATGGCCCTGCTACCCTGAACAAGTCCAATGTCTGATCTCAGAAACTAAGCAGGGTGGGGCCTAGTTAGTACTTGGATGGGAGACCACCTAGGAAAACCAGGTGCTATAGGCATAAATTAAAAAAAAAAAAATTTTTTTAACTTTTTTAGATAACAAAATGTCTGCTATTGACTCAAAACAGGAGACTATATATTATGTAACTATATCTAAGCTACGGTCCCCAAGAAGAGCAATAACTATTATGCAGTTAGCGTGGCCAATAAGATCAATTTATAATTTTAGTGCTCTTTTATCCTTATTATGGAGCAAGAACAATACATTTCCACTGTGGAACATTAAGAAACATAGACAAACCAAAGGGAGAGAATAAAACTGTCTTGTAATCTTGCATTCTAGTGTTAATCACTGCTAATGTTATGGGATGTATTTCAGTTTCTTAATCATACCTTACATATGTATTTGTATATATTGTAACTTTTTATTTGACATAATTTTAGACTGACAGTTGCAATAATAGTAGACACAAAATTGCATATACCCTTCACAATAATCCTTCAAATGTTAACCTTTTACCACATCTGCTTTATTCATATCTCTCTATGTGTGTATACACACACACATGCATACATACATACGTACACAAATATAAGTTATACATACATCTTTTTTTTCCCTGAATCATTTGATATTACTCAACTTTAAAGTTTTAGCAAAGGCAAATTATGCCAATAACCTCTAAACCATTAATATTCCCAAGTGTAATAGGAAATTTTTTAAGTTGTAAATAAGAGAGTAAAAATGGTCACAGAATCAGTATCAAGAAATTTCCATCAGACTGGGACAGATTTAGCTAGCAATTGATCACCCTCAGACCTTTGTAAATACCCTGGGGTCTTATTGCAATGCTGAGACAGGCTGTAAAGGGTCTCGAGTGACAAATGCCCAGCCATGATCCTATTTATTAGATGAGACTCTTTAAACTGGGCTTGTGTAGGAGATCTCTTAGAGGGCTCAGAGAGGGACCTCAGAAAGTCACTTGTGAGGGGCTGTCTGGAGGCATTGAGCGGGATCGTGAGCAGCCGGTCTAGTGATGCTCTACTTCAAAGATGTTGTTGCTTGGCATCCCATCTCATCTAGAGTGTAGTATGTCATTGTGGAGAAGTCAACAATTCCAGGTGTCCAGTTGTAAATGCTTGATATAGAAGATAAAGAAATTAGTTATCGTGGCCAGGGCATAAACAGCCTTTCCCACAGTGGAATCACTAGGGAGAGAAGAGAAATTAAGGCCTTCTGTCACCTGTCAGGTGCTGATTTAAGCAGAATAATGCATTGGGCTGGATTAAATCATTTTTTCCCCCAGCATAGCACATCATCCGACGTCTTGGCATAAAATAGAGCCAGATGCTAAAATGCCGTTCTGGATTGTTTTCGAGAGTTCGGCCTGTTCCCCTGAGGTGTACAATTGAGAATATCATATTGTCCATACTTCTAAAAGTTAAACTTCGAGAGGCTCAGCAACAGGGTCAACGCACTACAGAGCAGCCTTGAGCTGGACATGAGGAGGCAGGAGCCAAAAGAGTCCACCTCAGACTTACCAGGGAGCAAGGGCGGATCCCAGACTTGGCCTTGTTTTGAAAGAGAAATTACATTATTTTCCTTATAAACTGAGACTTACAGGGTTCAATCAAGTTAGGAGACTGTCTCCTAATCAAAAAGAGAAAGACCAGTTTTAATATAGTAATCGATTTTCTCGAGGATACGAGGATACCTACTGATGTCCTATAAAGGAGGCTGGCAGTTGGTGCTCCAGGTGAATATCTTCATCACCAAAGGACCACCAAGGGACCTGCTCTGAGATCAGGAGGAAAAAAATGGAGGAGAAAGAGTACAGTGAGGGCTAACAAGGAAGAGAGGAAGCCAGGACTACTCTCGCACCAAGATCCCAGTTCCTAGAAGGAATGGCCTGTGGATCCTCCAGATGCTTGTGGGCCCAAGAGTTAGCTGCAGAGGGCGGGTGAGATTGGGGGCTACAGTCTTGCTGGAACAGCCACGGTGGAGCAAAGATGCACACACCTTAAAAGAATGTGACACGAGGACCTCAGTTGTTCGAAAAGGTAGCCAGGGGGAGAGCTTGAGAGCAAGTCTGCTGTCACCTTGACCCTACCACCTTGTCCACACTGTGTTCATAGACAATGAGTCAAAGAGAGACACAGACCATCTCTTCATGGGCAGCCGAGAAGAGGGTTTCTACCTTTGCTATCCCTCCTCTCTACTCCGCCATCAGAGCAGCAGGTGCCAGGGAGAGACTGCCTCCCTCCACTCTAAGCCACTAGAAACTAGCGTGAATAAGGGGTCGAGGGGAAACTTTAAAATCACATATAAGATTTAAATTTTGGAATGAACAGCAGGGAGTTATAAGAACTGAAAAAGACTGTTCTAATATATGAATCACTAGAAATTGCTAGGAAAAGAAGTTTCAAAAAAGAACAGATAATAGTTCCTAAAAAAAATTTTCATTTTATACCCAATAGTTAAGATTCTTATCTAAGACAGTTACATTAGACACCCATACATTCATTTCCTCCCCCCTTTTTAAGACCCCTGGTTGCCCTCTGAGTACAGCAGCAGACTTATCAAGGATTAAATGCACCCAGCCAACATCATAACCTTTTCAATCTACTTCTCCAGTGGCATGAGGAGCCTAAAATGGCCAGGAGGTAGTCTCAACTTCTAAATCAATGGGCCCACTGTGGGTCTCTTGGTGGGAGCATTCCTTTTCTTGGTGCTGTCAGGAGCTTCAAACAAGCAAAGCGCAAAGCAGGGGAGGAGGGACATAAAAACTCTGCAAGCTATAGGAGAATCCCACTCCAACATTTGCCCTGACCCATGTATTCTGGCTCTGGAAGAAACAGCTCACAGACAGTCCTGCCTCAGACCACATGCTCTGTCGAGCATCCTCATCTTACAAGTGTTGCCTCCCAGCTGACACCAAAATTGAATCTTCAGAAGCCTCTCTACCCAGCGACTTCTGGATGATGCAGTACACGATAAAACCAGTGGGTCCCATGGACATAATCAACCTTTTGCTCTACTTCTTTTATGAAAGAGTGGTTTTCTTGGTCCAAAACAAAGTTACATGAGATATTGTGTTAGTGAAGCAACACTAAGTCCAAAAATGATGCTCATGGGGGAGAAATGGCAGGTGAAGAAAACAAATTCCTCTCCAGAGTGTTTATTCCATGTGGGAAAAAGCAGTGCCATCCACGACTGAAGGGATGTGGTGTAACTCATCCCCCACAGTGAGGGCTCAGGTGTCCTCACTGCTCACAAATTGATAACCTGAGAAGAAGAAAAAAAATCATGTTATTGAACCTATGTATAAACTCCAAATCTGTCACATTTTCACTTTGTTCATGAGCCCATAAAATAAGCTCTCAATGCCAGGAAGGAGACCAATTCACCACTATAAGGCAGGTCATTTTATCTACCTGATAATTTAGCCTTCTTTGCAGTAGGTGCCTTCGGCGAGCAGCCACACGGGACACATATTCTTACATTCTGGGTTTATTCTGAGTAGTTCATTCATTCATTCTCCATGACTCAGGGCCCTCAGCAAAAACAAATGGTGCATGCAAGTTAAGATAGTTCAAGAAGGTAAAGAGGGTTATTGACAAACTTGTAGGCAGCATATAGGGGAATCACAAAAGATAGTTCTAATACTCTAGTGCCGCTACCATGCCTAGTCCCAAAAAGCAGAGGGAAAAGAGAAGTTTCCAGGACCCAGAAAGATAAAGTCATGTAGAGAGGGCCACCTAGAGGAAAACTGTGACATTCATTTGAGGTAACCCAATAGGAAGTCAGAGGAATAAATAATTTGATTTCAGTCTCTTCTTCTTTCTCATCTCTTGCTGAGGTCATATTTATCAAACCCAACCTAAAGCCAGAAGACAAGGAATGCAAACCAAGCAGGTCAGTCGAGAGCAGGAAATGGGCAGAGAGGTGGGAGCAAGTAAACACTGGATCTAGAGAGGCACACAGAGGTCATCCAGCACACATTTCTCCAAAAATTATTTATCGATTGCACCTATTATGTGCCGAACACTCTTCCAGATGTTGAGGACAGAGCAGTCAAAACACAGACAAAAACACTTAACTTCATGGAGCTCATAAAGTACATACATAAAATATATAGCATTTTATATATTTACAAGCAATAATGACAAAGTAAGGAGAGGATATAAAAATATCAGATGAGGAGGACTATCATAATCTTAAATAAGATGACAGATTTTCAGGGGAAACCTGAAGGAGCCAGGAAGTGGCCTGTAGGCACCTGGGAAAAGCAAACCATGCATTGAGAATAGCAAGTGGAAAGGCTCTGAGATGTATGCCTGGAGTATTTAAAACACAGAAGGCTAGTAGATGAAGAGGATTGAGCAAGAGGGACAATATTAAGAGAGAATATCAAAGAGGGGAAGGAATGGAGGAGTCAGGGTGGGGACCACACCACCCTGTAAGGCTTTGTAGAACATTGTCTGACATTTAGCTTTTACTCTGAGTGAGCCGGGAAACCACTGGAAGATTCGCACAGAGGAACAGCACGATCTGACACGTGTTTATGTCATCATTCTGGCTGTTGAGATAAAGTGATGTGAACAAGAGGATCAACATTAAGAGAATGAGACCGACCAGTTACGACGATACTACAATAATCCGGTCAAGCAGTGATGGATTAGACCATGATGGTAACAGGAATAGGAAAGATGACAGGACGGTAAAGTGACAGGATTTACTGAAGGATCGGATGTGGATATGAGAGAAAGGGAGGTTGACTCCAAGGTTTTTGGCCACTGGGAAAAAAGTAATTGCTATTCACGGAGATAGGAAGGGATGTGGCATGTCTGAGTTTGGTGTCTATTGTGCCGGGTGGTTATTAGGAGCAGTTGTGGACATGTTTTTGACATCCAAGTGCAGATGTGAGCTGGATGTATGATCAGGTTTTTAGGAGAGATGGGTCCCTTAAATATGCATTTGACAGTGTGGTGTCCTGGAAACCAAAGAGAGGGGATCAGCTGTGACAAGTGCTGCCGATCGGTTAAATAAGATATGACCTAAATTTACCACTGGAATAAGTAATGCAGGTGATATTTGTAAGAGCAGTTTTAGTAACGTGTTGGGATGTAAGATGGTTTAGAGTGGGATCAAGAAAAACGGAGGGAGAAATATTGGAGATAGTATAAACAAGTCGTTTAAGGAGTTTTGCTATAAAGGGAAGGAGAGGACAGTGGGGTCAAGACAAGGTTTTTAAAGACTAAAGAAAATTTTCCCAAACCTCATTATCACTAATCCTCCAATCTTGAACAATTAATATTTACCTCAGAAATTGAGGTATGAGTCTATATAAGAAGATCTATCAACCAAATTCACATTAATAGAATAAAGGAAAAATGCAAAAAAAAAAAATTTACATAACTAGGCAGCAAAAACATTTGATTTTTTAATAAACATCTATTTATGATGAAAAAAAAAACCTTTCAGAAAACTAGAAACAGAAGGAAATTCTTCACCTTAATAAAGTTTATATGTCAAAAACAAACAGCCAATGTAATTAGTGGAGAAACTTTAACAAGATTAAGATGCCCCCATCTCTGCTATGGTTTATACTCAAAATCCTGACCAACTTTATTATAAGGAAAAAATTATAAGTGTATAAAAAGATTGGAAGAAAAATACAAACTGCCATTATCTGCAGATGATATATATATCATTGATCTAGAAAAACCAGCAGAATCAACAAATCATTAAAATGAATTTCTCTAAACCAGTAACAACCAACTGGAAAATGTAATAAAAATAAAACACTGTTCACAGTAGTAACAAAAACTCTGAAGTAACTAGATTTAAATTTAATCTAATGTACATAAGACTTCTATGAAGAAAACTTTAAAACTCTAACAAAGGATATAAAGAAAATCTAAGCAAGCAGAATTTTATCCTCTTAAATGGTACAACTTGATAGTATAATACTTATTTTGGAAAAAAACTAATCAAGACTATAAAGAGGATCTAAATAGATAAAATTTCATGCTTTTGTATAGTCCAACTTTATGGTATAATAATGTTTCCCTAGATTCATCTATAATTTTAGTAATTCACCTCAAAAGTCCAGTTGGACATTTTAAGGAAGATAATAACCTGACTCTTAAATATGAATAAAAGTCAACTTTAAAAACAATAAACCTTAAAACAATAAGAATATCAAGGTGGAATTTTCCCAACCTAATATTAACAGAATATTGGCTCTTAATACCTTATATGAACAAATTTGGGCTGAAGAACAAATAGAACAGAGGAATATAACAGAGAATTTAAAGACAGCTATTTATGTATCAGAATTTAACATATACTAGAGAAAGCACCAAAAATTCACTAACAAATGAAAATAGATAGAATGGTTGATTGATTGATTAGTAGATGATGTTGAGGACACTAGCTCATTATATGAAGCAGTATAAACTTATTAATATCATCACTATATCGAGAAATATAAACTGGATCCTTACCTAACATCAAATACAAAGGGTTAAAGATTTAAATGTGGGAGAAAAAGTTATACAAGAAAAGTTCAGAGAATATCTTTATGTTTGAGGAGTAGGGATGGACTTTAAAAAAAATTAAGAAACATAAACCATAAGGCAAAATGTTGACAAACTTGATTACATCAAAATTTAATCTTTCCCAAATTACAGTGAGGTACCACTTCACACCCACTGGAATGGCTACAATTTTTAAAAAATGGAATATAACAAGTATTGGCAAGGATGTAGAGAAATTGAAACACTTGTACATTGCTGGTTAGAATATAAAGTGGTTCAGCCACTTGGAAAATAGTTTCATGGTTCATCAAATGTTAAACAGAATTACCATATGACCCCACAATTTTACTCCTAGGTGTATACCCCAAAGAATTAAAAACAGGTGCTCAAACAAATGCATGTACTTTTCATAGCCGCATTATTCATAATAGCCAAAAGGTGGAAACAGCACAAATGTTCATCAGTGGAAGAATGGATAAACAATTTGTGGTATACCCATATGATGGAATATTATTCAGCCATAAAAAAGAATGAAGTAGTGATACATGCTATAACCCAGATGAACCTCTAAAACATACTAAGTGAAAGAAGCCAGACACAAAATGTTACATATTATATGATTTCATATATATGAAATGTCCAGAATAGAAAAATCCATAGAGAGAGAACAGATTGGTTGTTTGTTGCCCGAGGCTAGTGGGGAGGGAGGCTGGGAAGAAACTGCTTGAGGCATAAGGGTTTTTACTTTGGAGTGACGGAAATGTTTTGGAACTAAATGGAAGTGGTGGTTGAACAACACTGAAAATTACATGTCACTGAATTGTTCACTTTAAAATGATTAATAAAAAAGACTTGGTGGAGGTACTAAAAAGGAAAAGCGTACTATCCAGGGGGGAAATTAATAGACAGATAATAGAATTAAAGGAGATTACTTGTACACTGTGAACTGAGGATCGATACTTAGAATAT